TACCGAGAACGGAGAAGAAAACTCGCGACTTGCGTGCGCAGGTGACCTGCGGGCACGGATGTCATCCAAAAATCTATCTTACAAAGATACGATTTAATTTTTGTTTCTTCCCGTAACCGTGTAACGTTCCAATTTTCTGCATCAGAAGAGCGGTTCGGTTCTAGTTGCGCACCAGAACGCTTTTGGGCCGTTACAGCCTTTAATGCCCAATGTTCTTCTCCTTTAATGCATCTTTAAATGGACAATTTTTTGGCATATTGTTGTCCAACGTTCTGGTCATTTATATTCAATGTTCAGGTACATTAAAGCTCACTTAACACACAACAAATTCATCCTTGTATATAGCTGGAAAGTGATTGGCAACAACATAGTTAGCACATAGTTTTGAGCTAAAATTTGCATCCAGCTCTCTGAAAAAATCCTCAGTGTTCATACTTTGTTTTCGTTCACCGAAACAACCGATTATGTGTCCATACGGTTGTTCGTAGCCACCGTTTCCAGGTAAACTATCGTTGCAATGCTCCTACTACTGTGGGGGGCAACGAATACATTTTAAGGAATTGTGTGTTGCACAAGCTTTGGCTTTATATCCCTTATTCTTTTTGTTCCTTGGCTATTTTTATTAATTAATTAATTTTTTTATTTTCCGATTAAACACACCAATTCACCCAATAATCAATACGCGACAAATACTTCAACACCCTCTTACGATTAGGCATTTGTCTCGATCGTGCAATTGTTCAATTAATTGGAACAATCTGACTCTTGATACCATATTAAGCTTGAGCTCAAACCTAAGTGAGTAATTTAATAGGAGGGATATGCAAGAATCCTACATATTAGTTTGATATTTTATACCAAATTAATCGCTGTGAGACAAATATTACAACACATAGCCTGTAAACCCCCCAAATACTTCCACGCTAAACATCATTCCATTAATAGCCGTTGGTACCTTCTCCAACTATCATCACTATGGTCATAGTCAACGAATGACACTATGCATGATCACCATTGTTTCTTCGAATTCACTGTCCCTATTAATGTATTGGTGACAACTCCGGTACCTTTCAAAAATATGGGGTATCGTACCTATCATTCATTTGATTGGACCACATCACCTTATCATTTTTAATTTAGATTTAAATAAATCAATTGCTACATTTTCATTGGTCCTTGTGAACAAAGGTATGGTACCTTATGGGTACCATAGAATCTACCTAATGTATTTTGGTCATCTCTACCAGCCTACTAGCCACCATTATTTATGTGAGTTAGCGCCATTAACTATTGTAATCGTGTACCATCATAGATTCACAATCGTCAATCACAACTACCACCGTACATTGCCACTCCCTTGGGAGTTGGGTGCATGCATGAAACTCCAAATGTATGAGAAATTTTATAAAATGAAGAAACTATTTGTTGAGGTCCCCCACTGGAAAATTGTGAAGCAATAAAGTGCATGTTATATTAAGATACTAGTATTCCACCCGTGCGGTGCACGAGATGTAATATGCAGATAACAAAAAATGGTAATATATATACATTTGTTAAATTATATTATTATTTGCCACATGAATGAATGAATTTGTAAGTAAATACTACTAGTAAAAATATTAAATGTTTAATATGCAATATATTACGGGCTCATAACAATAAAGTGTGTGCTTTGTTAAATTAAGATATGAGCTACTCCTATCAGATTGACCTTTTAGGATGAAACCACGAGTCTTAACATGGTATCAGAGCCGAATCGATCCATGGTGTGGACCTCCTTATGAAAAATGATTGACACGATTATAAATAAAATGACAATAACGGTAGATGAAAAAAATGAATGACTGCACGATCCAGACAAAGTGTCTGGTCGTGAGGAGGGGTGTTCAATTCCCACACCGGATACTTGTGAAGAAATTAAGTGCTATATTAAGATCTGGATTACTCCTACTATCAGGGTTGACCTTTTAGGATGGAACTCTAGGTCTTGACACTATTAAATCAAAATAACAAATAGAAAATAGAATTTGGGATTGAAAAAATATGAATTTGAAACAACAAATTCAAAGTTTTTCTCTTCATTATAATAAAGTAATAAATATTTTTATCTATATTGAATTAATTCCTTAAAAAATTGATATGTATATATATTTTTCCTTAATGATTTCTTAGCAATCATATCAACAACAAAAACTTCCTTACTGACTTTTTACTATATACTTCTTCTAAATTATTTGAACATAATTTTGTTTAGTAATATTAAAAGTCTTTAAATAAAAAATTGTGTAACTTCTCTAAATAATACGGAATATGATTTTTTTTCCTAGTTCTTGCACGGAATGTTTACCTTTCATTTGAAAAATAATATTAAAAGAATCTGAATTCATATTTTGATCTTGATTATTCTAGATAATAATATCACCAAATGATCTTTTCCGTCAAAACATGTATATTAACAATATCATATACTTAACAATGTTTTTTCATTATTATATACTTGTTCTTTTTTCTTCTCACAATGTGATTCACTCATATTGCATAGATTCATGTGATCTACTAGAGATTTCATGGGCGGATATATACAACCATGAGAGTTGTACTCGAGTGAATAGGGTGGACAAGATATGAAAAAGTAAAATATTACACTAAAATGATTGAAAAAATTAAATTTTCTTTTACTTCAGATCACTATAGCCTATCATGAGAGATTCAATATCTTCATGAGTTTAAAAGTCATATACTTGATGAATGTGATCCTAATTAGTGCCACGCACCAGCTTCACAACAATGATGGCCGTTAGGTGGCGGCTACCAATAGGCCACAACCAGGAACAAATATACCATTATCCGCTTCTTTTTAATTGTAATATATGAAATTTTATATTATTCACATGTTTTACTTTAACTCTGTTTAATTTGTTAATGTACTCCCTCCGTCCCAATTTGTTTTGCAAAGTCAACATTTTTTTGTCAACTAATAATAAAAGTCAACCCTTCTTATGCATAATTAATTTAATTTTTAATAAATAAAATTTACATATTCATAAACTACATCAAAATCTCTTCAAAGTTGTAAACTCCAAATTAGAATATAATTAAAAATTGGCATCCTAATTAAGTGAACAAAACGCAACTGTTTGACCAAGAAAAGTCAAATTTGCAAATCAATTCGGGACGGAGGTAGTATGAAATTATTGTTTTTGAAAAATATTGTTCTCATTTCAAACGTTTATAATCAGTTTTTTAATTTTTTTGCTAATAGAAATTTAAATACGGAGTATAATGACAATCAAACTTGTGCATTAGCAATCATGAAAATGAGAATGTCGTGGCTAATAAAGGACAGAGTAAGTAAGAATTTACCCTAGACTGGCTAGAAATGACTAGATTAAGTGGAACAAAATATTTAAGGACAATGTTGAAAAACATTTTTAAGAATTAGGTTTTCTTGGTTTTTAGCCCATCATTGCTCTGAATTAGATTTGCCATGATGTAGATGGGATCCTAAGATTCAAAAGTAACATTAAGGAGTGTTTACAAGAAATTAAAAAAAACACTTAAATAAACTGAAATGAATGTTTTAAAGTGATGACTTATATTTAAATTAAACATTTAAAAGCTAAAAGTCAGAAGTGGTGGAGGAATGCTTTATACTATTTTTCACTTTTCTATTACACAAAATAACTTTTTTTACCAGATGTTGTCAACTTTTACTTTTCAAATACATTTCTTTTACTCCGTATACACTATCAAATTTTACTATTAAACATTTTCTCTGAAATCACTTAAAAACACTTTTTTAAACAATCACAGACACTCCATAAATGAGATCAGTGAAATGGAATATGAATTGATCGAAAGCATACAATAGAAGTCTCATTGCTTCCCAAATATATATATGTAGGCGTCTTCATAGTAACCCGAAGGCTCTAGTTAACAAATTAAAATCAAAAGGAAAAATCAGTTTATTCAAACTTTGTTTAAATGTTTTTATACAACCTTATTTTGCCTATCCACGCATACTAATTGTCAAAAAATGTACTCGGTAGAAAATTTTAGAATTGTCTGTATACATAAATATGTGTGTAAAATGTGTAAATCAACCAAAACTCAAATAAATATAAAAAAATACTACTCCCTCCGTCCCGCAAAGAAGTTCCCGTTTTCCTCTTTTAGCAGTCCCAAAAAGAAGTTTCTCTTTCCTTAAATGACAAGTTATCTACATCAAAACAGTGCAAAACAGTGTCAAATAGTGTTGAAACAGTGTCAAAATAGTAAAATTTACCCTCTGGCAAGTTTATTTCCTTACTATGTGTGTAGGCCAAACCGGGAACTTCTTTGCGGGACGGATGGAGTATATATTTGTATTTGTGTATAGCGTACACACTCTTATACACGTCGGTGAAAGGCTTTTCCTGTTAATAACTTGTTCGCAGACGAAAAATATAGATTAGCTATTCACAGACAAAAAAACCTCTCATCGACATATGTAATATTGTGTATAAAAAATGTGTGGAAGAAGAATTACTACTACAATGTTACCGTGGATAGGGGGTGATTGGAACTGATTCTGCTTCTTTTTTCAGAAGCTGGTCTCCTCCATCTTCTGAAAAAAATACTTCTAGAAGTAAATAAGAGTTCGGAAGTACTTCTATACTTTCACCCAAACACTCTAATTTCTGTTTCTGCTCTTTGAGAGATGGGAAGTAATGAAGGCTCTACCTTATGATTTGATGGATTGGAACTTGCATGTGCTGCGGCACTGCGGCTGCTACTCTTAGCGATGCAGATTATTCACGTTGCATTGCCATGCAACGTACGCTGGTTGGAATTTAAGTCACGCATGTGACATGTACAAACAATTATACTTTATTATATTTTATTATTATTATTGTTAGGCTTTATCCAAGATTAAGCTTATCCCATACGTTTCTATTCTGTTGTAACCGTATAGCTTTATACGTAGATTAGATAGCGCTTATCTTATACTTTGTAAATGTGCTATTTAAAGCACTCGTATACAATGAAATCTCTACGGAGAATTATTCAATTCTAACTTGGTATCAGAGCTTTTTTTTCCTTCTCTTCTTCTATCATGGCTTCTCCGAAATCAACCCCCTTCCACCCTGCTTTGACTGTTTCCAACATCAAAAATTTCATTCCCATTACGCTCGACATGGAAAATGTCGAGTATTCTTCATGGGCAGAACTTTTTAAAATTACTCCTCGGGCATACCAAGTTCTTGATCACATCTTCCCCTCTTCAGATGATGATGATGATGATTCCTCCACCACCATGCCCGATAGTCCTACTCCTGAGCAAATTTTAAACAAGGCCGAATCTCAGGCCCTATGGACCCGTCTCGATGCCATTGTCCTTCAATGGATCTATGGCACCATCTCACATGAGTTGCTCCATACCATCATCGAACCGGATTCCACCGCACAGGAGGCCTGGGACCGCATCACCGACATTTTTCAGGATAACAAGCACACCCGTGCTGTTCATCTCGAGAGCCAGTTCTCGAATACCCGGCTTGAGGATTTTCCTAATGTTCTCTCCTACTGCAAAGCCCTCAAAACTCTGGCGACGAAACTGGCCAATGTCGGATCTCCCGTTAACAACGATCGGTTGGTCCTTCGTATGGTCAATGGTTTATCTGAATCCTATGATACCATCGCATCTATCATTCAGCAAACCAAGCCTCTCCCTCTTTTTTTTAATGCTCGGTCCATGGTAGTACTAGAGGAAACCCGCAAATCATATCAAGCTGGGACCCACTCGTCTGCTGCTGCCCTTATCCACACAGCACCTGCTGCCCAGCCGATGCCAGCTGTTCACCGTCCACCTCGTCCTCAAGGCTCTGGCCGTGGACGGTCATCCCGCACTGGGCGCTCTAGACAGCCTGGCCCCAGCTCCGGCTCTCCTACACCTGCTGGCCCACAGCGCCCCTCTGGCCCATGGATGATGCCACCCCCCTTGGCAGTATTGGATGCCGCAGCCCTGGGGTATTCCCCCGTGTCCATACCCGACTTTTCTAGGAGCCAATAGCTATACCCCACGCCCTTCTCCTACCGCGGGTATTCTGGGTCCACATCCCCACCAAGCCCATGTTGGTTCCCACCAACCTACTGATATTGCTTCCGATATGCACACTATGTCACTTACTCCCCCGGATGACAACTGGTACATGGATACGGGTGCCACCTCTCATATGACGTCTACTCCAGGTACTCTCACGTCTTATCTTAATACGTCCTCTAAATCACATCATATTGTTGTCGGTAATGGTCAATCCATTCCCGTGTTAGGCCATGGCACTTCCATCTTTGCACCACCTCACCCACCCCTCACTCTCCACCACGTTTTACATGCCCCACATCTAGTCAAAAATTTGGTTTCCGTTCGCAAATTTACTACTGATAATAACGTTTCTGTAGAATTTGATCCTTTTGGTTTTTCTGTGAAGGATCTCCGAACGCGAATACCCATCATGAGGTGTAACAGCTCCAGTGATTTGTATCCCGTGCGTCCATCCGTCCCATGTTTCAAGTCACCCATATTGTCTCTCCATGCTGTGACCGGCGATATTTGGCATAACCGGCTTGGTCACCCCGGCGATCCTATTTTTAGCAAACTTAGAGAAAATAAATTTATTCATTGTAATAAAGCTTGTTCTATTCAGTGTATTTCTTGTCAAATTGGTAAACATAATAAATTGCCATTTCGTCATTCTATGTCTTCTACTGTTTTGCCATTTGATATAATACACAGTGACATTTGGACTTCTCCTATTTTAAGTTCATCTGGGCATCGTTATTACGTCTTATTTCTAGATGACTACACTAAATTTCTATGGGTTTATCCTCTTCACCATAAATCCCAAACATTCCCCACCTTTGTCAAATTTCATAATTATGTACGCACACAATTTGAGCGTTCTATTAAAACCTTTCAATGTGACAATGGCAAGGAATTTGATAATTCATTATTCCACCGTCACGGTGAGAATCATGGCATGCATTTCCGTTTTTCATGTCCATACACATCTTCTCAAAATGGTAAGGCTGAACGCACTATACGGTCCCTTAACAACATTGCTCGGACCTTATTAATGCATGCCTCCGTTCCATTACACTTCTGGCCTCACGCCATTCAAATGGCTACATATCTCCATAACATTCTCCCATCTCAATCCCTCTCATATGCCTCTCCTACCGAACGCCTTTATCATAAACTCCCCGATTACTCTCATTTACGAGTTTTTGGATGTTTATGTTTTCCTCATGTCCCACCCCAAACCATCCATAAATTACAACCTCGGTCCATACCTTGTGTATTTCTTGGTTATCCATCTAACCATAAAGGCTACAAATGTTTTGATCCTCAATCCCACAAAATCATTATCTCACGGCATGTGACATTTGATGAAACGTGCTACCCCTTTCGCACTTCTACAACTCCCAAACCATCACCTTCTGCCACATCCAATGACTCATGTCACCCACTTTATTTATTCCCCCCCAACACCTCATGCAACTCACTGCCTACTCACCACACACCCCCTCCCAATTCGCCCCACCTGGCCAACACTCCCATAACTTCTCCCCTATCTATTTCCACTCCTGAACCTTCATCTCCCACTCCCAAAATAATTCCTCCCTTCACGTCAGCCCCTCACCACCCTATGATAACACGGGCCCGTGCAGGAATTATTAAACCCAAACCCACCTTTAATCTTTCTACCACACACATATCCCCTCTGCCCAAATCCCCTCTCATAGCCCTCCATGACCCTAACTGGAAAGCGGCAATGAGTGATGAATTTAGCGCTCTTATTAAGAATAACACGTGGGAGTTGGTTCCCCGACCCTCAAATGTCAATATTATTCGTTGCATGTGGCTTTTTAAACATAAATACAGGTCGGATGGCTCTCTTGAACGACACAAGGCTAGACTCGTTGTCAACGGGCGCTCACAGCAACCTGGCATTGACTTTGATGATACTTTTAGCCCGGTTGTTAAACCCGCCACCATCCGGACTGTTCTCAGTATAGCTCTTCATCATTCTTGGCCCCTTCATCAGCTCGACGTTAAGAATGCCTTCCTACATGGTGTTGGTACACGAGTTGGGCGGCCTTGACTACATTCAAAAATGGTTGACCGTGGCAATCAATGACGCATTCATTGGGATTAATGCTAGCTAATTAAATCTGGACAGTTTTATGTATATAATTAGAGTAGTTATTGTAATTATGACATAGGTTGCTCAAAGGGCTGGCCAGAATTGATGATGCAATAATGACGATATTGATGTCGTCGTAACGGTCGGACATGTCGTCGTAACGGTCGGATCATGTCGTCAACGGACAAAAGTGCATTAAATGTATCTCTTATAAATATCTAGAGGCTCTATGTAATCAGCACATTCAGTTACGAATACACATACATTCAGTCTCTACATTGTAATTCAAAAGCATATTGTGAAGATCCTTCTTCTTGATCATCATATATCAAATTCCTTTCTTTACCAATTCTTCCATAGTTGATTCTATATTGCTTGATTCCCATTTCTTACTCCGTTCTAGGATAAACTATTTCTTGTTTAAACAATTGGCGCCGTCTGTGGGAAATTCTTGCAAAACAAGAATCAACGATGGCCGGAAGTTCTAATCCCCTATTTGATGAGATGCAAGCGCAGCTTGATGCTGTCCGAAAGGAGCTCCGCGCGGCCAAAAGTGCCGAAGCGGCACAATTGGAAGCCCTCCGGGAAGAATTACGTGCGGCCAAGGAGGCTAACCAGTCAAAGGAGGATACTCAAATCCAGCTAGAGGCCGTAAGAGAGGAAATGCGTCAACGAATAACTCTTCTCCAAGGAGAAAATGACGCCTTGAGATCCCAAGTTCAATCGGTGGCGTCCATAGCGTCAAAATCACGAAAAGGGAAAGAGGTAATGACTGCCGCGTCAAAGTTGGGCGTAGATTCCATACCAGTCCCAACCTCAACAGTCACATTCACATCCGAAGCTTTCCCGGGACTTTCAAACTTTGATCCATATGCTAAAGGTGTCCCGGCGATCTCGCAGCTCATACCATATGAACCTCTTGTCCCAGCGACAACTCCAGAAGCAAGCATCCCACGTGCTTCTTCCCGGATTCATTGCGAACCAAAACGACGACATCGGGGATGCAGACCGTCAACCAGCAGATGCCGATCCCTATCCCCGTGTCGACTTCAACGGAGCCCTTCATTCCCCTTTCGCTGGCCGGTTCAACAGGTGCAAGGGGGCAATCATCTCGTCCTGCACCACTCCCCAGAAGGAACGTGTTTCGCAATTTGTTTGCTGAACATCAAGGACGACACATTTCCGAGCGTGACGACATGATCGGAGATGTCGACTTCAGCAATCCGAGACAACAGCATCCGGAAACTATCGTCATACGTTCGCCATCCGAACAGAGGGTGTCTCAGGCGGGAGCATATTTCGGAGCAGGAGGTCCCCAGATGCATATAGACATGGCGGAACCGTTGGCCTTTATCATGCAAGAATTGAAAGAGTTGCGAGAAAAGTATAACGGCATGCCAGGGGTTCCTCGTCCTCTTGACATGGCAACACGAACTTGCTATGCGGATTCTCCATTCGGACGACATATAACAGATGTCGAAATCCCAAAGAAATTCGCAGTCCCACCTATGAAATTGTTCGACGGAACCACAGATCCGGTAGAGCACGTCGCTCAGTACAAGCAACGGATGTTAGCTATTTCTGTCAGGCCGGATCAACGGGAAGCGTGCATGTGCAAGGCGTTCGGGACAACACTGACGGGTCCAGCGTTAACATGGTTCGTCAACTTGCCGAATGACGGCATCGACTCCTTCGCGGATCTGGTTAACTTGTTCACCCAGCAGTTTGCGAGTAGTCGAGCATTGGAGAAGCAAACCAGTGACTTATATCGTGTAGTACAAAGACATAACGAATCCTTACGTGACTACTTGCATCGATTCAACAAGGAGAAAGTGTCGATTCCGAGATGTGACACGCCAACGGCTGTAGAAGCTTTCAGAAGAGGATTGCACGAAGACTCAGACTTGTATAGGGAATTGACCAAATTTCCTTGCAAGACGTTTGAAGATGTCCAAGCCATGACTTTGGCTTTCATCCGGCTCGAAGAGGACGAACAGTCCCGACTTCGTGCGATTGGCTATGAAGGAGGACAGCGGAAGGCCAGCACCTCCAGAAAACATGATTATAGGGCTGAAAAGCCTTATGCGAAGAATGAAGAACGGCACGTTGCTTCGACGACTTCCTGGCTCGACGATCTGCCGCCTGCCATTCCGACATATTGTTTTAATGTCACTACAACTGGACTTATCAATGCTTTGGACAAATTGGGAGACAAGGTTCGGTGGCCCAGAAAGTCTGACAAACCCAATGGGCGACGGGATCCTAGCAAGAGATGTGACTTCCATGACGACATCGGGCATAACACAGAGGATTGCGTCGCTTTGAGGAAGGAGGTCGCCTACCTCCTGAGGAACGGTTATCTGACGGAAATCATGTCGGAGCAAACGAAATCAATGTTAAAAAGAGATCCGAAGTCATCCACAGAACATCAACGACCTCCTACACCTATAACACCTCAAAAGGTAATCAATTTCATTAACGGTGGTTCTGATTTATGCGGACTAACCTATTCTGCAGCCAAGAGACAGGCTCGGGAGTACTCCCGAGACAAGTCGTCGCAGGTACACCAAGTCGTCCGAAAAGGTGAAGCTTGGAAAAATGCGCCCATCACCTTCGACGAATCAGATCATACAAGTCCTACTGATGCCCATCATGACACTCTAGTCATTGCCCTTAGGGTGGCCAACTGCGAGGTGAGACGAGTTCTGGTTGACAACGGCAGCACCGCCAATATCACAACTTTGAAGACGTTGAAGCAGATGGGGTACAAGGAAGAAGACTTAGCTGCTTCCGGCTCCACTCTTGTCGGATTCAACGGCGAGCCCAGTCAAACAATCGGTAATGTATCTTTACCCGTACATGTTGTTGGTCTTAATTTGCAGGTAAAGTTTGATGTTGTCCAAGACTTGCCCGCTTACAACATGATTCTTGGAACACCTTGGCTTCACCAAATGGGAGCGATCCCTTCAACGTACCATCAAGTGGTAAAAGTTCCAACACCGTGGGGGGTGCAGTCCATTCAGGGTGATAGGGCCACCGCCAAGTCGTGTTACCAAACAGCGATGAAGTCGACCGCTTCTGCTACAACATCCGCATAGCAATCAAAGGGCGACTTTATTCCGGTTGGGGAAAATGACAGCGAAACAAAGGACATCAGCATTGATTCAAACCATCCGGATAGAGTCGTCCGCATCGGGGGCAGCATGCCGATTCAATTGGAAGAAGAACTTGTAATCCTACTCAAAGAACATAAAGACGTCTTCGCTTGGGATCATGACGACATGACGGGTATCGATCCGCAAGTAATCACCCACAAACTTAATGTCAACCCCTTACACAGGCCTATCCAGCAAAAGAGGCGACGCTTCGCCAGAGAAAGAAACGACATCATAAATCAAGAAGTCGAGACGCTATTGCGCACAGGTAAAATTCGTGAGGTAAAATATCCAACTTGGCTTGCTAATGTCGTTATAGTGCAGAAAAAGAAGGGACATCAGAAAGGCAAAAAACCTAAGTGGAGAGTATGCGTCGACTTCACCGATTTAAACAAAGCATGCCCGAAAGACATGTTTCCAATGCCTCA